TGGGGTTGTTAACCAGTGTCATAAAACAATATGTGTACTACTGTTTCATGAGAAACTATTTATTCTGTAAGCCTTCACCTGAAGTACAATAAAAAAAAAAAAAAAAAAAAAAAACGTTTTGCTTACAGAAAAAAAAAAAAGGTGAAGAAGGGAGAGGGTCGACATGTTGTGGGGTTGTTAACCAATGTCATAAAACAATATGCGTACTACTGTTTAATGAGAACTATTTGTTCTATAAACCTTCACCTGAAGTACAATTAAAAAAAAAAAAGAGAAGCAAATATAAAAAAATAATAATAAAGTAAGGGTCTTCAGATGGGGAGATTATCCTGGCTTATCCAGGTGGGCTCAAGGTAATCACAGGGTCTTTATATGAGGAAAGCAGAAGCATCAGTATGAGAAGGAGATGTGATGATGGAAACAGAGGGTCAGAGTTGGAGAGATTTGAAGATGCTATATTGCTGGCCTTGAAGATGGAGGAAGGGGCTGAAGTCAAGGAATGCAGGTGGCCTCTAGAAACAGGAAATGTCAAGGAAAAAAATGCCCCTTTAGAGCCTCCAGACGGCACATGGCCCTGCTGACACCTTGATTTTAGCTCAGTGAAAACCATTTCAGACTTCTGACCTCCAGAACTACAAGATAATACATTTATATTGTTTTAATCCACTAAGCTTGTGATAATTTGTTACAGTCGCAACAGGAAACCAATAGGAGGTCAGACTGAGCTTTGGGGTAAACAGATGTTGAGGTTAAAAACAAAACAGGAGAGGAGAGGAAAAGATTAAGCCAGTTAGTAGCAGAACAGGAAGAGGCAGCCATGATGAGTAGCTCTCAGGTTTGGATGGAGTCTGGAGAAAAACTATACAAACTCTTGCTCTCTCTGAGCTAGGAGAGGTTCATCTCTTCTGGTCAGGTCAGGCCACACATGGCCAAGCTCACGTGTGGGAATCTGATTCTGGTTTGGTTAAGGAAGAACTTTCTATCTAACAGGATTATCTAAACACAGAGTTCCCACGTGGATTGGGGTGTGTCCCATTGCTGGAGGTGAGCATGTAGGCATCACAGCAGTCTTCTTATTCACTGCATCCTAGTTCTCCTTGTGTTATATGTATTACAATTATTAGTTTAATCCTATCTGTGGTTTGATGGACACAAAGTCCTCCATTTCTGAGACTACTTTAGACATTCTCTGGATCAGCACTTTTGACTCTAACGTTCACAGGAAGCATCTGGGGAGTTTGTTAAACTACACGTTTCTGAGTCAGTAGGTCTGGAGTGGGACCCAGGTGAGGCTGATACTGGTTTGCAGCAACTTAACCTGATACACTGTGTAGCAAGGTTCTACAGACCCCCCAAACCCACTGCTGTCAAGTCAGTTCTGACTCATAGCGACCCCATAGGGTTTCCAAGGCTGTAAATCTCTATAGAAGCAGACTGCTACATCTTTCTCCTGCAGAGCTGCTAGTGGATTCGCACCACCGACCTTTTGGTTAGCAGTTGATTGCATTAACCACTGCGCCACTAGGGCTACTTTTCTAAACCAGTGATTCTCAAACTCGAGAGCATGTTACAACACAGATAGCTGGGTCCCACCCAGGGTCTGATTCAGTAAGTCTTGGGTGGGGCCAGAGAATCTGCATTTCTAATAAGTTCCCAGGTGATGATTCTACTGGTCTGGAACCACACTTTTGAGACCCACTGCTCTGGAAGATTCTATTTGTGACCCATGACTTTGACCCTTTTTGGAATTTGGTTCTTCAGTTTACAAAATCTTTTCACTGCTCCCAGAATAGCTTGGAAGGGGTTATTCATTTTTCAAGTTTAACTTGTTCACCTTTGTTAATAAAACGTTGGTTTCAGACATTTCTTATCAGGATTTTGGTGAGATTTGTGTAGAAGAGGTTCTCTTCTTCTCCCCTGGCCCTGGGGCTTACCCTTGAATTCTTGAACATTTACCTGTCCCAGGCTTGGCCTCAGGCACTGGGCAGACTGTCATTTCTTCTCCAGCTGACTGATGAGGTAACTTGGAGGTCAGCCACTTGCCCAAGGTACCAAAGCTGCCATGTGACAGAGCAGGGCTCAGACCCCGCTCCATCTGAGTCTATGATGGTTAATTTTATGTGTCAACTAGGGTTCCCACTAAAACCTGTTACAGTCGAGTCAATTCCAACTCATAGCGATCCTATAGGACTGAATAGAACTGCCCCATAGGTTTCCAAGGAGTGACTGGTGGATGAACTGCTGACCTTGTGGTCAGCAGCCAAGCTTTTAACCACTGTGCCACCAGGGCTCCTTGGTTCCCAATGGTTTGGCCAAATACTAGACTAGTTGTTCCACAAGGTAGCGTAATATAATGTAATCATTTTCCATAATGCAATCTAATGTAATATAACCAATCAATCAGTTGAAAAGGGAGTTTTCTTAGGGTGTGGCCTGCCTCCAGACTATAAATAGGTATTTTGGCAGGACTCATTCTCTCTCTCCACTCTGCACTCTTCCTGTCCCCTGATCTATAGATCTTGGGATGGGACGTATGCCAGCAGAGGTCTCCAGCCTGCCGCCTGCCCTATGGATTTTGGATTTGCCAGCTTCCAAAATCACATGAGCGAATCCCTTAAAGTAAATCTCTCTCTCTATATGCACGTATACATATATGTGTATATATATAATTTGATATATATACACAGAACACACACATATACCTCATTGGTTGTTTCTCTAGAGAACCCTGACTAAGAGACTCTGAAGACTGTCCCATGTCCTTTATGCCTTCCCTGAAAGTTCTTGTTTCTCTGATGTTAACCTGTGCCCTCTTTGAAGGGATTTCTTTTGACTTAGCTTCTGACTTGTAAGGAGTTGGATTTTTACAAGAGCCCTGTTTGGGCCACAATCTCCCCGAATGTCCAACCTCCCATAGCAATGGGCACAGCCTCCACAGGTGGGGCTGTTACCTGTGGTGCATCTGGCCACTTCCCATGTCTAAGTCTTGTCTCCTCACTGTGAGGGTGACTGCCGGTGCAGAGGCCTCCCCCTCGCACCCACTCTCTCCCGGGCAGAAGGGCTCTGGGCCAGCCCCCCTCCTCCACTCCCACTGAGAACAGATGGCAGTCTTGGACCCTCTCCTCAGGAAAGCGTCTGCACGCATGACTGTGCAGTGTCAGGACCTCGCCTGCCATGTGCTGCACATGCCCCATCCTGAGCTCCCCACTCGCTGTGGCTACCCCTCCCCTGTCTGCAGCACAGCCGGGCCCCCCCCAGGCCCCACATCTCATGGTTAGCGCGGCTCTCTGGGGCTTGTGGGCATTTATCTATAGTCACTGTTGAGGCTGATGAAGCAGCGTCTTCTTTGTATGAAGCTAGCCTAGTGCCTGGCTTTCACTCTAGCTCAATGACCGACTATCACCAAACAACCCACTTCCCTGACTCTCCTCTGCAGGTTACCCCTCAGCCCTGGCACAGGCTGCAGCCCAGGGGATATTCTGTAATGGTGTCTGAATGGTCAAGGGAGGGGGGCATTAAGCAAGAGGAGACTGAGCAGGGGGGCCCAGAGGACACTGGGGAGGTAGGGGGATGGATAGTGACCACTGGGCTGACTGTGCCCATTCGGTCCTACTGGAGATCCAAGAAGGCCCAAGGCAGAGGTCACTGCGTGATACCCCACAGTGAAGGCAGCGTGGCTGGACAGGGCAGAGCTCTGAGGATATGCAATACCTTCCCCTCTCTTCCCAATCCTCCTTGCCAAGTTTCTCCACTTTCTCAGGGTCTCCACTGCCTACTCCCCAGACTCCAGAAGCCCACTGTGGGGCAAGACAGGCGGGGCAGGACGCAGGTGGGGCAGGACACAGGCAGCGGCCTCCTCTCTCTAGCTTTATTTGGTGACGGGGTAGGGGGCTAGGCTTGTTGAGCATGCAGCAGCGCTCGCACCTGGGCTATCTGCCAGTCGATGCTGCAGCGTGCTGTGCCACCCAGGGCGCCATACTGCTCCACGCTGTGCCCGTAGTCCCACACACGGCTCACGTCACCCGAGAACAGGGGGCTGGGGGGAAAGAGGAGGTGGGCACAGGGCAGTGGGGTACCCCAGCCTCCATGTGCCCAGGCTAGGCCTCCTGGGAGGCAGCAGAGGGACAAGGTGCGACACACCTGATAGTCTGTAGCTCCTGCAGTGACAGCTGGTTGAGGGCGATCCCTTTGGTCTCAGCAGCAAACACAGCTTTGCCAGAGGCCTCGTGGGCCTGGCGGAACGGCATCTGGGCACAGGGCGGAGGGCGATGCTGGTGACGCAGGTGTCCTGTGCTTCCTGTGCTGCCCGCCTAGGCTAGAGGACATCCCTACCCCTTCCCCACACTCCACTGCCCCAAACTTACCCCTTTGCGGACCAGGTAGTAGGCGAGGTCTGTGGCCAGCATGTCCGGGCTAAGCGCCCGTGCCATGTTCTCACGGTGAATCTGGGGTGGGCACAGAGCTGTGAGCCCTGGGGACCCTGGGTCTGTCCCCCTCCACCAGGATGTCCCCTGCCTTGGGCTGCTCTGCTCTGGCCCACTCTGCCCTACTCTGCTCTCTCTGCTTGAACCATCTTCTCATAATTGCTGACAATTTTTAGGTGTGCTACTGGTATTGTATTTGTTTTCCAAGAGTCCTGAGCTTTAGGGCAGTGGTTCTCAAACTTCAGCGTGCATCCCAATCACCTCGAGGTTTACCTTGTATTAAAAACAAAAATCGCTGGACCCCACCCCCAGAGTTTCCGATTCCGTAGACCTAGAGTTGAGAGAGAAGTGCCTTTCTATCAAGCTCCCAGGTGATACTGATGGGACTGGTCCAGGGACCACACTCTGAGAACTACTACTTTAGAGAAACACTCTGAAATACTGAGGAATGAAATGATAAGATGTTGGGGATTTGCTTGAAAATAATGGGGAGGGGGGGTAAGTAAAGATATAGCTGAAACAAGAATGGCTGTACATCAATGACTGTTGAAGTTGGGTGTTGGTACATAAAAAACCCCAGCTGCTGTTGAGTCAATTCTGAAGTTCCGACTCATGGCGACCCCATGTGTGTCAGAGTAGAACTGTGCTCCATAGGGTTTTCGATGGCTTATTTTTCAGAAGTAGATCACCATGCCTTTCTTCCCAGGTGCTTTTGGGGGACTTGAACCTCCCAACTTTCAGTTAGCAGCCAAGTGCATTAACAGTTTGCACTATCCAGGGACTCCTTGCTTCTAAACAACGGGGAACTGGGGTGGGGGTTGAAGATATAGCAGAAACAAGAATGGCCATGGGTTCATGATTGTTAAAGCTGGATGTTAGTACCAAAGTGTTCATGATACATTCTTTCAAGGATAACATATGCTTGAAATTTTCCATAATAAATAATTTTTTTAGAAAATCTCATCTGGCCAGTTGACAAGACCTGGGCCCCGTTGAGCCTAACTTTCTTCCATTCTACCGCACCAGCTCACAGTATGCTCCTCCGCTGTTCCCCAGGGGCAGGAACAAGCACATATACCCCCTCCCCCAAGTCATCTGGGCCCACCCATGCCTCCTTCCAGGACCACCCTCCTGGCCCAGCCACCCGAGTATAGGGCTTAGGTGGGAAGAGGCACGAAGGAGTTGAGGGGCATGTCTTGCCTGCAGCGTAGAGATGACGCCAGTGGTCACCTGGAGGACAGCGCTCATGGTGTCTGCCACTTCAAACACAGCTTCCTTGTCCTCCTGGGAGGCACACAGCAGGAGAGGAGGGCTCAGTAGCCCCCAGGCACCCGTGGTCCCCATGCCCCATCCCCATTGCCTTCCCCTGGGGACACTGAGCACCTCTCACCCCCACACCAAGGGAGAGGAGAGATCCTGGGACAGCCACAGGATTGGGCACACAGGATGGGAGGTGGACCCCTGCCTGGGTATGCCAAGGCCCTGAGAACTGGCATATGTGAGTATCCAGGTGGGCCCACCACCCCATCTCATCCCAGTTTCACACCTGTAAGTCCTTGTTATAGGTGCTTGGCAGTCCCTTGAGGGTCATCAGGAGACCAGCACACTGCAGTGGGGGAGTGTAGGTTGAGCCCAAGTCCTCCCAGCCCCAGCGGGCCACCAGACACCCTGCCCTGCTCCCTGCCAGGCTCACCCGCCCAAACACTCTCCCGGCCTTGCTCCGGATCAGCTCCAGGCTATCTGGGTTTTTCTTCTGGGGCATCAGGCTGCTGCCGGTGCTGGGGACACAGATGCTGGGGCTGAAGGAGCTCACCTGGCCTGGGCTGGTCTGCTGGCAGGGGCAGGGCAGGTCCAGCAGCACCCCATCCCAGCCCGGCCAATGCGGGTGGGGTGGGAAGGAAACAGGCCATGCCTGTGCGTGCAGAGGTGAGGCGGGGCGGGGTGGGGCTGCCTGGCCTTACCTGTAGGCATCTGAGAGCTGCACGAAGCTGAATTCCTTGGTGCCATAGAGGATGAGGTCCTCAGCCATCCTGCTGAGGTGGGTCATGCATAGTGAAGCCCAGAACAGGAACTCAGCTGGGAGCGGGACAACAAGCAGCTCTCTGTCACCAAGCCTCTCTTGCTCCCCACCCAGCCTGGAGACACTCTAGGTGGAACACCTGGGGGTGGAGAGAGGCTGCCGGGTAGTGCAGGGGTCTGGCCCCCAGGACTCACCCACAAAGTCTCGTTCGCTGGTGGCATCCATGCTGTTGAGAGTGATGGCCGCAAAGTTCAGTTCTGGAGAAGGGGCAGAAGAACAGCTGCAGGGCTGAGGTGGAGGCAGCGGCCTCCTCCACCCCCACCCAGGTTACCCGGCCACCTGCCCTGGGCCCCCTCAGGGCACGGTATGGGGGAGGGAGTAGGAGGTGGGGACAGGAGGTATGGGAGGAATCCCTCGTAGGTCCCAGAAGGGAGCCCTGAGTCCCCCACGCCCAAGCACCCCTGCCGTGGGCCATCCCTTGCTTCTCTAGCCTCAGTGTCCCCAGGTAGTAAATGAAATTTCACCCAGCGGAGCTGGAGGAGCTGCAGGCTGTGGCCTCTCTAAGTGTGTGTCTGTGGGCCTCGGGGTGCTGAGCGGCAGAGCGCCTCACCTGCTCGGAGCAGCTCCCGGTCCACACCCAGAGGGTTGCCTGCAATGGCTCCACTGCAGGGACAGGGGATCAGAGTGGCCAGGGGATCAGGGTAGCCAGGGGTCAGTGGCCGGGGGATCAGGGTAGCCAGGGGTCAGGGTGGCCGAGGGTCAGGGTGGCCAGGGTTCGGGGTGGCCTCGTGACCAGGGTGCCCAGCTGGGTGACCAGGGTGCCCGACAGGCAGACCCTGGCACATACACGTACACACACATGTCCAGAACCAAGCCCTGGATGCCAGGGCTCCAGCCTGAGCTCAGCCCCCTCCCTGGCCCAGTTGCCTCGGGCACCAGAACCCTTGTCCCCATGCAGAGGAAATGGCCAGCTGTGGGCAGCCAGCTGGGCTCACTGGGAGTCCCTGTGGAGAGCCCTGCCCTGTGCTGACAGCTTGCTGTCCCTGTCACGTCTCCCCCATCTTCGAGGACCCATGCAGGGGTCTCTGCTTAGCCAGCGAAGGAAGAACCCTGCACAGGGAGCGGGTTCCCTGGGTTTCCATTCGCCTCGGTCCTTCCCCGCCCCTCCTCCAAGCCACCTTTCTTCTGCCAATCCCCCGGGCCACCTGACTGTGCCATGCCCCACCTCCAGGTCCCCAGCACTGGGGCTGCACTTACCTCCCCAGGGGCAGGACATTGATGCGCTTCTGCACCTCCAGCAGCCGCTCTGAGTCCCGGGTCAGTGCCACCGCGTGGCTGGGGAGCGGGGGTGGGACAGCAGGGTGAGGGCAGCATGTCCCCCCATCACAGCTCCTCGGCAGTGCCCTGAGCTGTGCCCCAGCCCCTGCCCCACTCACCTCAGGATCCAGTGGCTCCAGCGGATGGGCTGAGCCCTCTGCAGGTGTGTGTACCCCGGGAAGAGGACGTCTCGTTCCCTGCGAGGGAAGAGAAGGGGCTGGAGTTGGCGGGGCTTGGGTGGGCACCCGGACCCTGTAGGCCTGGGCCACTCCAGGGAGCAGCAGGGTGGGCAGGCCGCCAAGGATCTGTCTGCCTGAGGGGCCAAGCCATGTCCTTAGGACAAATGCATCATAAGGGAAAGACCAGAAGTGGGCAGAGTGATCTGAGGATGGGGCCAAGCATGGGTCATCCCCTTAGCTGGGGCCTTTTCAGCTGGGCAGCAGACCTGACTGCAGGGGCCAGAGCAGGGGAGGAGGCGCATAGCGGCTGTCACCGGGTAGTGGGCAGGTGAGGTGTGTTTATAAGCACACCAGCGACTCCGCAGGATCCCAGAAATAGCTGGGGGTACTTTAAAGTAGGTGGGGCAGAAGCAGAGGTGCTGTGGCTGATGGGTCTATTATTTTTTCTTTAATATAACAGCTTTGTTATTGTTGTTGTGAGCTGCTGTCAAGTTGGCCCCTGACTCACGGTGACCCCATGTACAATGATATGCTGTCCAGTCCTGCACTATCCCTGTGATCTGTTGCGGATCAGACCATGGTGATCTATAGGGTTATCACGAGCTGCTTTTCAGAAGTAGATCACTAGGCCTTTTTTCTTAGTCCGTCTTAGTCTAGAAGCTCTGCTGAATCCCGTTCAGCATCATAGCAACACACAAGCCTCCAAGGACAGATGGGTGGTGGCTACACGAGGTGCAATGGCAGGGAATTGAACCTTGGTCTCCCATGTGGAAGGTGAGAATTCCACTGCCGCCATACCATACAATTCACACGTGTAAAGTTACAGTTCGCTTAGTGAAAAAAAACCCATTGCCAACGAGTGACCTTATAGGACAGAGTAGAACTGCCCCATAGGGTTTCCAAGGAGTGGCTGGTGGATTTGAACTGCTGAACTTTTGGTTAGCAGCCGAGCTTTCAACCACTGTACCGCCAGAGCTCCCAGCTCACTTTAATGTATGCTTTAGCATACGATCAACCTGTTAAACCTGTTGCGGTCAAGTAGATTCTGACTCGTAGCAACGCTGTAGGACAGAGTAGAACTGGCCCATAGGGTTTCTAAGGCTGTAAATCTTTACGAAAGCTGACTGCCACATCTTTCTCCAGTGGAGTGGCTGGTGGGTTCAAACCGCTGACCTTTTGGTTAGCAGCCGAGAACTTAACCACTGCGCCACCAGGGCTCTTTGTACAACCATCACCATAATCAGTTTTAGATCATTTTCATCACCCCAAAGAAAAACCCAACACCTATTAGCAGTCACTCCCAATTTCCCCAGCCTCCCCAAGGGAGACGGTTCTCGTGCCCTTGCTTTCCCCCAGGTGGCTGAGGTCTGTAAAACGGGGGTCACAGGGATTCAGGAAGAGGAGGAGTCAACCCTGTCTCTGATGCTAAATAGGGCTGTCTCAGCAGCTCCTTAGGTCTACAAGGAGCAAGGACATCAGGCTGTCACAGAGGGCAAAACTTGGGAGGAGGGGACAGAAGGCAGCCTGGCTCTGTCCTTTGCCAGCTATGCTGGGCGGGGTGTGGGATGCGGCAAGCTGAGTAGTGATTCTCTGGTGGCCCAGACACCAGTTGAAACCAGCTGTTGTCGAGTAGATTCTGTATCATGACGACCCCTGTGTGCGTGAGAGTAGAACTGTGCTGTATAGGTTTTCAATGCTTGATTTTTTAGAAGTATCGTCAGGCCTTTCTTCAAAGGCACCTTTGAGTGGACACAAACCTCCAACATTTTGGTTAGCAGCTGAGCGCATTAACAATTTGCACCTCCCAGGGACTCCACCCCAGGCACAGCTAGTCCCTTTTCCTTGGGCTTCTGAGTATTTGCCTAGTGCCTTGCCTCCTGCCAGCAAGTCCTCAAAGGACAAGCTTTCCCTGCCTGCCAGCTAGACTGGCAAGGGGGTAGGGCAGGCTGCAAGAAATGCGCCCTCCTGGCTGCTCTCCTCTCCTCTCTCGGTCCAGGTGTTCTAGGACCCCGTGCCCTGGGCCTGGCTCCCTCACCCCGTTCAGCCCTGCCACCTAGGCCGGCTGTTCAGGATGCCTGGCTCAGAGGCGCCACCTGGGTGCGCCCAGGAGACTCACGCTTCCGCCCGGTCCACCATGCTTCTGATGAGCTCCCGGAGGAGGACAGAGAGTGATGAGCAGGTCTGCCGCATCCACAGCCTGAGGTCTGTGACCACCTGTGGGTGGGCAGAGGAGGCGGCACTCAGGGAGGACCCCAGCCTAGCCCAGGGTGGGGACGGCACAGGGAAGAGATGCGGGATAGGGGGCGGCTCGTGGCACCTGGTCGTTCCGGCTTCGCCCCGTGTGCAGCTTCCCTGCGGTCTCACCGATGAGCTCCTGGGGGTGGAGAGGGCACAGGGTCACCCAGGTAGGTGTGAGGACAGGTTCCTTACCAGCCCTCTCACCCTCCCTCCCCACCCCAGGGCCCCTAGTCCTGCCCAGGTATCTCTGTTGAGGCCCCTACTCGAGGGTCCTGCCTGCACTCTGCCACTGTGGGCAGGAACCAGGATGACAGTGCTCACACTCAGAGAGGCCCAGGGCGAGGCGAACAGGGAGGCCAGAGAGGCAGCAGGCGGGGTACGTACCTTCAGCCGCCGCTCGTTGGCTGTGTGGATGTCCTCATCATTGGGGTGTACTTTGAAGGTGCCCTGGGCCCACTCCTCAGCCACCTGTGGTGAACGGCAGGACCCCAGGGTCAGGTGGAAAGAGGGTCCTGCCCTGTCCTCCCATCACTCTGATCATGGACAGTCCCCACACAGGAGCTAAGTCCATGGCAGAGAGCTAGTGTGGCCCCATCCTAGAGGGACACATCTGCCCATGACCACTAGAGCACCATGCGGCCACTAGAGGATGATGAGTGACAGTCCCCACAGCACGTGGAGAAATAGCACCTCTCAGCAGGTAGTTAGCCCATGTGTCTGGACACATAATTACTAGGTGAAACAATAGGTTGGGCTGACACCACCATTGGCGCTTGGGGGTCTGCTGGGAGCGTGGGGCCCCAGGAGCAGGGCCTTGGAGGGGTGTGGGTGTGGACAGTACCTTGTCCAGGCCGTGCAGGATCTGGTCCATCTCGGCCATGGTGAGGAGCCCCGCCTTCTGCAGGCCCCTGCTGTAGGCTTTGCTGCCCCGCACGTCCACCTCCCACAGGTTCTGGTCGTAGGCGATGGACGAGTTGAACTTCTCCATGATGGGATCCACGGAGCCCACAAACCGGCCGCCCCACAGCTTCCCGCTCTGGCCAGGAGAACAGGAAAGTTACTTGTCTGATGGTGGTGTGGGCCAGCAGACAGGATTATTCCCATTAAATAGATGAGGAAACTGAGGCCCAGAGAGGGTCAGGAACTCACCCAAAACCACTCAAGGAGCAAGGAGAGGAAGGTGGGTACACCCTAGGTTAGGGGTCTTTCCTGTCACATGGCACTGCCCCCAGGAGGTAGCGGCAGGGTCCCAGGCACCCGTGGGAACACAGCAGAGCTTCTGGAACTTTTCTTGCCACTGCCTAAGGTGGGAAGTTACCCTGGAGCCCAGAGTTTTAACCCAGCTCTGACGTACGGATGACAGTCATAATAACAGCAAGCACGCACTTCATTCTTACAGTGTGCCGGGCATCGTTCTGACCGCTTGGCATGCTTTGACAGCAATGCTCTGAGGTGGATACCAGGACTATCCCATGATGCAGAGGAGGAGACTGAGGCATGGTGCAGTTATGTAGCTTGCCCACGCTGGGGGCGAGGGCACCAGGACTGCAGCCCAGCAGTCTGTGCCCATGTGTCCACCCCAACATTCCACCAGGCCTCTCTGCTCTGCTCTGCCGTCCTGGACTTTGGCTGCAGGGACAGGCATAGGCCTCCAGTGGAGTAAGAAGGCACCTGAGGGCCCCCCCAGGCACGCATTACCCCATCTCTCTTCCCCATGAGCCCCACCCTAAGCCTACCCCCACCAGTCCTCTGGCTCTGGAGAGGACCCCTGACACACCCCTGACCACCGGCCTCCCAGGAAGTCACTAGCTGAACCCCGCCCAGGAGCCAGGGGCAGAGGGATGTACCGGAAGCACCAAGGTTTTGAAAGACAGCATGGGGCAGGTGCCAAACCAAGACTAAACCAGTTGCCAATTACTTGATTCCAACTCATAATGACCCCATGTGTGCAGAGTAGAACTGTGCTCCATAGGGTTTTCAATGACTGTGACCTTTCAGACATACATCACCAGGCCTTTTTTCTGTGGTGCTTTGGGGTGGACTTGAATTGCCAATCTTTCAGGTAGTAGTTATGCCACCCAGAGATCCTGGGGTAGGTGAGGGCGTGCCAAACACCTGGGGAGCAGTCTGAGCACAGATTAGGAGGAGACTGCACCAGGGTGGAGGTAGGCATGTTATTTTACTGGCATCTTTGCCGTGGGGTGGGAATACACTGGCCCCTGGGGACTCATGTCCTCTTATGCATCCCCTGCATTGCCCCCGACCTCTGTTAGCCACCTGACATTGGGCATATTATGTAACCTCTCTAAACTCAGGGTTGCCTCCCTATAAGATAGGTATAATAACAGGACCTCTCTGATGGGGCTGGTGTGAGCATTGGATTAAATAATATTTGCAAAGTGCATATATAGCACAGTACCTGGCACTCAGTAAGTGCTACCTATTACTAAGGGAGGGGCAAGGCTGCAGGGCCTTAGCTCCACTCCCAGTTCCTGTGTGCACCCACAGGGACCTCGGCCCTGCTCTGGCCTAGGCTGGGAACGACCCCTCAGAACCCAGCAGCCCTGGCTGCTGAGGACTCTGCCCTGCAAAGGCAGCGTCTGCCTCCTCAGCATTTTGAGCTGGGCCCTCCCCTGACCCCTCTGCTGCTGTCAACTCTGGATGTCCAGCAAAGCCCCACGTGGGCCCAGGTTCCTGAGCAGCCAGTCAAGATTGAGAGTCTGCCTGCCTCTTGGCCAGAGGCCTGGCACCACCTCCCCCAGCCAGCTTCCTGCACCTCCCTGCCTGAGTTATTAGTAATAACAACTACTAACAAGCGAAGGCTGCAGCCAAACCAATTAGTACCAACCCACAGGACTGCCTGGGGCAAGCCAGGGTCACCTGGAGCCCTGGTCTCCTAAAGGCTGCCCACTCTGCTCTTCAACCAAGCCCCCAGCCCACTGTTGGGCTTAAAAAGACCCCAGGAAGTGGTCCAATGGAGGTAGGGGGTGGGAAGGCCTAAGTGTGGTGGGAGAGGGCACTGCTCCAAGCCAGGACACATCTGGGCCAGAATGATGCCTTCGGGACAAGGAGCAGGAGCACTGAACTGGCCTGGGATGAACAAGCAACAGCCAATTTAGGACACACAAGAGAAATACCAGTATTGTTACTGTTAATATTATTTGAAAAACAACAGTTGCCATGAAGTAGATTCTGACTCATGACGACCTCATGTGTGCCAGGGTAGAACTGTGCTCCATAGGGTTTTCAACAGCTGATTTTTCAGAAGTAGATCACCAGGCCTTTCTTCCTCGGTGCCTCTGGGTGGACTTGAATCTCCAACCTTTTGGTGAACAGCTGAGCTTAACCATTTGCACCACCCAGGGACTCCAGTGATTGAGCACCTGCTATGGCATGGCCCTGTGCCAGGAATTTCAAGTACACCATTTCTAAGCCTATGAGGGGGACACTGTCACCTCTATACGACAGATGAGGAAAGAAGCTCAAAGAGGTCAAGTGATGTTAGCTCAGAAACCAAGTCTGTTTGGCTCCAAAGTCCAGGCCCTGGCCCCTACCAGTCCACCATGAGCCAGAGCCTGGCAGGGCAGCCATTCTTATTCCTTTTATACAGACGAATAAACTGAAGCCCAGGGAGATGAAGTGACTGGAACCCAGACCTCCTGCTTCCCTGGCCCAAGGCTCCCTCCATTAGCATCAAGCAAACCGCCCCTTTTATCTGAGAGGTTCAAAGCAATGGCCCCACAGCCCTCCCAGTACTTTACAGAGGGAAGCAGGCAGCTATCTGCATCCCCATTTGCCAGATGTCACAACTGAGGCCCAAGGAAGGGAACCTGTGCCTCAACTCTTGCTGAGGAAAACCCAAGGAGAGCCCGGGACTTACTGGAGGAGGAAAAGTAGCTAGTGAGACAGGCGGTGACCAGGCGCTGGGGGTACCATGGCTCTTTCCACACGCCAGAGTGTGATAAGGACAGTTTCAGGGCTGAGCCTTTTCAGCGCAGGGCGGGGACTGACAAGGGAACGCGGGGAAGAAGGAACAAAGGGGAAGGGGGCTAATGGGAGGGGCTGGGGTCGGGCCTAGGGAGGGGGTCACCTTCCCGCAGCATCATGGGTGGGTTTGCCGCACGGGCCACCTGGGCGCGCCGGGGGAGGGCAGGCGGTGATGTGAACACCGGTGAATTCCCGTAAAAGTCCTCCCCAGGGTCCGGCAGGTGCTCCTGGAGCAGCGAAGACAACTGCCTGGAGGGCAGCTGGCGGCAGGTGTGGCCCGGGAGGCCCGGTGCGCAGGTCCCGGCCTGGGCTGGCCCGCGGGCGCCCCTCGCCTTCGCTTGGCGGCTAGGGGACCGGGCTCCGTGGCCCCGCTCACCTCCGATGCCATGTTGGGTGGGTCCTCGTCGTCCGGAGCCTCGGTCTTCTGGGTCTGGAAGACAAGACGGGACTGATCACCTCCGCGGCCGCGGAATCCCCGCCCCCGGCACGGGGTACGCGGCGCGGGGCTCAGCCCCTGGGCAAGCGGATGTGAAGTCTCCCGCGCGCGGCGGTGCTCGGCGTCCCCCGCCCGCCCGGCTGCGCGCACTGACCCCCGCGGGCCACGCCTTGCGTCTCCCGCTGCCTCCCGCCGGGCTGTTCTGGTCCGGGTGTTGGAGGTCGAGCTCCGCCCTGTCACACCCCCGGTAGCCGCCGCACCAATCCAACGCGACCCCACGAGGTGGGCGTTGCCTCATCACTCCAATCCCGGTTGTGGGCGGGGCCGTCTCCTGCTGGGCAAGAGTCCGGAGGCGGGGTGGGGGCAGTGAGGGTGGTGCCTGGCGTCAGCGCTCAGGTCAGCAGACCTACTAGGAGTAGAGGCAGTGACACTGGCCCTTGGAGGGCTAACAAAGTATATAAAGTGAAATGACATGCCTGCTCATCCATTCAACAAACGCGCACTTGTCGTTCGCTGCCCTCCAGTTGGTCGCCAACTCACGGCGACCCCGTGCACAACAGAACGAAAGGCTGCTCGGTCCTGTGCCATCCACATGATAGGGTACAGATCTGACCGTTGTGATTCATAGGGTTTTCACTGACTGATTTTCAGTAGGAGAATGTCAGGCCTTTCTTCCTAGTCCATCTACGTCTGGAAGTTTTGCTGAAACCTATTCAGCAGCAGCACAGCAACATGCAAGCTTCCATTGACAGACGGGTGATGGTTATGCGGAGGTTGTGCCAGGTACTCAGACACTGAGGAAAAATAAGCATAAGGAGTGACGCCTGTTTTCAAGAAGCTCTAATAAAGCATAGACAAGGTGCGTGGGGAATATAGAGGTGGGGAGACTATCGTGGGGTACTCAAGGAAGACTAAGTAATATGATTATGTCATTAATTCAACAAAAGTAATTAATTAATTCAACACAAATGACTGACTGGGTTCTAGGCTCTTCTAGTGGAGATGTCCCCTGAGTCTGGTCTTGGATAATGAGGGGAGTTTGCTCAGCAAAGAAGGGGAGAGGGAAATTCCTAGCAGAGGGAGCAGCCTGGGCAAAGACTGGGAGGCCTGAATATGAGTGGCCTGCTCCCACACCTGGAAACAGTCAGAGTGGCTATAGCAAAGGGTAAGGGGTCCCAGGGTGTGAAGAGAGGTGGGAGCTGAGCTGCAGAGGAGGTGGGGCAAGATTACCTCTGAATGCCAAGGGAAGGAGTTTTTCTTGGTCCTTAGGTCACAGGGAACAAACAGAGAGTTAAATTTATTTTTTTAGGGCGAAACCTGGCAACATGTCTAGCGGGGAAGAGGAGACCAATGGCTAAGATGCAAGTGGTTGGGTTGAAGGTTTTTAGTCCTTACTCAACTCGAAAGTGGAATTACTTGTAGTCCCCAGAATGCATCAGGCTGTTTCAGGCTCTTCCCTGTGCCTGGAAGGCCCTTCTTTCACTGTCTGGCTTGCTACTTCCCATTGTTGTTGCTGTTAGCTGCTGTGGAATTGGCCCCGACTCATGGCAACCCCACGCACAAGGGAACAAAAGGCTGCCCAGTCCCCAGTCCTGCACCATCCCCATGATGAGGTGTGGATCAGACTGTTGTGAGTTTTCATTGGCTGATTTTTGGAAGTATATCTCCAGGCCTTTCTTCCTAGACTGTCCTAGCCTGGGAGCTGACTCAAGCACAGCCACCACCCATCTGTCAGTGGAGGCTTGCACGTTGCTCTAATGTTGAACAGGTTTCTGTGGAGCTTACAGACTAGGAAGAAAGGCCTGGCAATCTCATTCTGAAAATCAGCCAATGAAAACCTTATGATCACAACTTTCTCATCCATTGTGTGTAGGGTCGCCATGTGTCAGGGCCAACTTCATGACAGCTAACAGCAATAGTAGTGTGCCAGGCACTAAGCTAAATAAATATCTTGTATTTATTATTTCCTTAAATCATCACAATCACCCCTTGAGGTCAACTGTAATTATTCTCCATTCTACTGATGAGGAAACTGAGTCTGGGAGAGATTAAGTAACTTGCACAAAGACACCCACCTAGGAAGTCGCAGAGCAGAGATGGGAACTGCACCCAGGCATTCTGGCCACAGAGCTCATGCTCTGTGCAGAGCAGCAGTAACATCTATCTGGGGAGCATGCCAAGAGGCTGATTTGTTGAAAATGAATTACCTGAGGGACCAAACTAAGGAACTAATAGGCTAATAGGATCATTACTAAATCTCACATGACAATCACCTCCCTTTCCAGGCCTTGTGGTGAAAACAAAAGTCTGATGAGAAGTCTCTTAGGTCTGCGGGTTGTCATACTTGTAATTTGCTGAATTAACGTTGTCTATACATACATGGTTTTGACTGTGCAGGAACCACCTGAAAGACTGCTGCAGGGAATGGCAAAAGCCCCAATCTTGTTAGTTCTAATGGAGACAGGTGTTGATGACCTAGCCCAGGCAGAGTCTCACTGCTGGTAGCACTTTAGAAGAGCTCAGGTGGCTGTCACCAGACTGGGGTACACACAGTGACAGGTTCTTAGAGTCAAGGAACCCGGGGTGAAATCTAAGCTGCATCACTCCTTGGGCATGGTCTTGGGTAAGTTACTCAACTCCTTTGAGCCTCAGTAAAAAGGGGGATAATCGCACCTATGCACTGGGCACAGAGAGTAAGAAATCATGTAGGTGATATATCTGATTTATACTAAAAAACAGACAAACCAAACCAGTTGCCATGGAGTCCATTCCAACTCATGGAGCCCTCTATGTGTGTCAGAGTGGAACTGTACTCCATAGGGATTTCAATGGCTGATTTTCCAGAAGTAGATCCCCAGGCCTTTCTTCTGGGGTGCCTCTGGGTGGACTCAAACCTCCAACCTTTCGGTTAGTAGTAGAGAGCATTAAACATTTGCACTACCCAGGGACTCCAATTTATACTAAACCCAATGACCTATTGCTGTCAAGTCAATTCTGACTCATAGCGACCCTATAGAGTACTCAATAAACAGTTTTGACTGTTAGTTGCCATGGCGGTTCTGACTCCTGGCAATCATATTTATAACAGAAACATTGCCCAGTCCGGAACCATCTTCATGATTGTAGGTATGTTTGAGGCCATTGTTGCAACTATTGTATTATATTGTAATCCATCTCATTGAGGGTTTCCCTCTGCTTTACCCTGTTGACCATCTGCTTTACCAAACACAATGTCCTTTTCTAACAATTGGTCTATATTGGACAATATTCTGTTGTGATCCATAGAGTTTTTTTGGCTAATTTTTGGAAGTAGATCACCAGGCCTTTCTTCCTAGTCTGTCTTAGTCTGGAAGCTCTGATAAAACCTGCCCCATGGTGGGTGACCCTGCTGGTATTTGAAATGCCAGTAGCATAGCTTCCAATCTCATAGCAACACTCAAGCTACCACAGTAGGACAAAGTGACAGACAGGTGGGGGTGATAAATAGTAGCTGCTATTATTAATTAATGAAGCCTAGTGGGCCAGGATGAAGTTGGTTTGAAATAATAATAATTAGGACTACTAGTTGGTCAGCGCTTTTTATGTGCAAAGTGCTTTCTGTGTGTCTCAGTTACATATTGCTGTGTAACAAAACATCCCAAATGGCAAAACAATAACTATCATAATTATTATTATCACCGGCCATTCTGGGGGTTGACTGGGCTCAGCTAGGAGTTTCTTGCTTAGGGTTTCTCATATGGTTGGGTGGGGGTATCTGAAAGTCTTCCTCACTCGTCTGGTGCCAGGGCTGGGAAGACTCCAACGGCTGGGGGCTAGAACAGTCGGGGTTTTGCAGGCATCTCTCTGTATATCTGTATATCAAACCAGCATGGTGGTTTGAAGGTAGCTGGACTTCTTACAGGGTGGCTTTGGGCCCCAAAGGCCATGTCCCAAGATAGAGCAAGAGCCAGGTGGAAGCTGTATCACCTTTTATGACTCAGCATTTTGCAGATGGGTGACCTTCATAGGCGTGAGCCTCTGTTCCTTAACAAGCCTGCTCCTGCAGCCTTGGCCATGTGGGCTCCTCCTCAACTTTAGGTCCCAGCTCAAACGCCCCTGGCTTTGGGACGCCTCTCCACCTCATTAGTCATCCTGTCTCTGCTCCATTGCGTCTAAACACAGCGCATTGTGGTATTTACGTCCAGGTCTGGTTCCCCAACCAGGCTGTCAGCATGCCAAATGCAGGAGAGTGCATTATTCACATTTGTGTTGTTGCTGTTAGCTGCTGTGGAATTGATTTCTACTCATGGCAACCCCGTGTGTTATAGAGTAGAGCAGCCTCATAGGTTTCCTAGGCTGTAATATTAACGGAGGGAGCCCTGGTGGCGCAGTGGTTAGGTTAAGTGCTCGGCTGCTAACTGAAAGGTGGCAGTTTAAACCCACCAGCTGCTCTGTGGGAGAAAGATGTGGCAGTCTGCTTCTGTAAAGATTACAGATTTGGAAACCCTGTGGGGCAGTTCTATTCTATCCTATAGGGTTGCTATGAGTCGAAATCGACTCGATGGCAATGGGTTTTCAATGCTAACGGAAGCAGATCACCAGGCCTTTCCCAGGTATTGCTGCGTGGGTTCGAACCGTCAACCTTTAGGTTAACAGTCCAGCACAAACCTTTTGCGCCACCTTGGGACGTCACATTTGTGTTATCAGCAGTGAATGGGCCCCAGTATGTGTTTGCTGAGTGAATAACGCAAGGAGCACCTTTCACGGCTTTACAGGGTCCACTCTCTTCATGGGAGGTGCAGGGCACCATCCACACAAATCAGGCCAGGTGGGCCTGGCGTGGCATTTTGCTTCCTTGTTGACTTTTAAAGTAAATTAGTTTTTTTAATTACAATTTGTAATTATAAAAATTACATATTCATTGAAAAAAATTAAAATACAGAACGTGTGAAGTTAAATGTTAAAAATCCTTCTCACTTCCTTTCCATTCCACTCCCCAGAGGCAACCACTATTAATAAGTTTTCAACAGCTTTATTGAGATATAATTCATATAGCATGTTGTTGTTGTCAGGTGCCGTCGAGTCGGTTCTGACTCATAGAGACTCTATGTACAACAGAACAAAACACTGCCCAGTCCTGTGCCATCCTCATGATCGTTGTTATGCTTGAGCCCATTGTTGCAGCCACTGTGTCGATCCATGTTGTTGAGAGTCTTCTTCTTTTTCACTGACGCTCTACTTTACCAAGTATGATGTCCTTCTCCAGGGACTGATCCCTCCTGATAACATGTCCACAGTTTGTGAGACAGTGTCGACATCCTCGCTTCTCCAGAATCCAGGGCATTCTGGCTGTACTTCTTCCAAGATAGATTTGTTTGTTCTTTTGGCAGTCCATTGCATATTCAATATTCTTTGCCAACACTATGATTCAAAGGTGTCAATTCTTCTTTGGTCTTCCTTATTCATTGCCCAGCTTTCGCATGCATATGAGGTGATTGAAAACACCAGGCTTGGGTCAGGTGCACCTTAGTCTTTAAAGTGACAGCTTTGCTTTTTGACACTTTAAGGAGGTCTTTTGCAGCTGATTTGCCCAATACAATGTGTCATTTGATTTCTTAACTGCTGCTTCCATGGGCGTTAATTGTAGATCCAGGAAAAATGAAATCCTTGACAACTTCAATCTTTTCTCCATTTATCATGATGTTGCTTATTGGTCCAGTTGTGAGAATTATTGTTGTCTTTATGTTAAGGTATAATCCATACTGAAGGCTGTAGTCTTTGATCATCATCAGTAAGTGCTTCAAGTCCTCTACATTTTCAGCAAGCAAGATTGTGATATCTGCATGTCACAGGTGGTTAATGAGTCTTCCTCCAATCCTGATGCCTCTTTCTTCTTTACACAGTCCAGCTTCTCAGACTATTTGCTCAGCATACAGATTGAATAAGCATGGTGAAAGGATAAAACCCTGACACACACTTTTCCTGACTTTAAACCATACAGTATCCCCTTGTTCTGTTCGAATGACTGCCTCTGGATCTGTGTACAGGTTCCTCATGAGCACAATTAAATGTTGTGGAATTCCCATTCTTTGCAATGTTATCCACAATTTGTTAAGATCCACACAGTTGAATGCTTTTGCATAGTCAATAAAACACAGTAAACATCTTTCTGCTGTTCTCTGCTTTCAGCCAGGATCCATCTGACATCAGCGATGATATCCCTCATTCCATGTCCTCTTCTGAATCCAGCTTAAATTTCTGGCAGTTTCCTGTTGATGTATCACATCACATACCATACAATTCACCTATTTAAAGTGCACAATTCAATGCTTTTAGCATATTCGAAGAGTTGTGTAACATCACCACAATTCAATTCTGGAACATTTTCATCTCCCCTAAAAAAAAACCCATGCCCATTAGCTGTCAATCTCCAACTCCCCTCCTCACCCCTAGCCATAAGCAACCACTAATTTACTTTCCCTCTGTCTTTATCTAGTGCTGCTATCGCAGAAATACCACAAGTGGATGTCTTTAACAAAGAGAAATTTATTCTCTCACAGTTTAGGAGGCTAGAAGCCCAAATTCACGGTGCCAGCTCCAGGGGAGGGCTTTCTCTTTGTCAGCTCTGGGGGAGGTCCTTTCATCAATCTTCTCCGGGTCTAGGAGCTTCTCAGCACAGGGACCCCGGGTCCAAAGGATGTAGTCTGCTCCTAGCACTACTTCCTTGATAGTATGAGGTCCCTCTGTCTTTCTGCTTGTTTCTCTCTTTTATATCTCAAAGAGATTGACTCAAAATACAACCTAATCTTATAGATTGAGTCCTGCCTCATTAACATAACTCTCTAATCCTGCCCCATTAACATCATAGATGTAGGATTTACAACACATAGGAAAATCACATCAGATAACAAAATGGTAGACAATCACACAATACTGGGAATCATGGCCTAGCCAAATTGACAAACATTGGTGGGAGACACAATTCAATCCGTAACACTGTCTCTATAGATTTGACTATTCTGGACATTTCATATAAATGGAATCATACAATATATGGTCTTTTGTGTCTGGCGTCTTTCCCTTAGCACTTGTTTTTGAGGGTCATTCATGTTGTAGCATGTGTAAGTACTTCATTCTTTTTTATTCCAAGTGATATTATTCTCTTCTATGCATATAGGACACTTAATCCATTTACCAGTCATTATTAACAATTTAACATGCCTCCTGTGTTTGTTCAGATTGTGTGGTTTGAATCCTTACTGGACAAGTTTGGAGGTGAGAGACTAGGGTCAATCGTAATCTCTCCAAGCCTCTGCCTCAGTTTCCTCAATTGTAAAATGTGAATAATAATGAAATCTAGAGTGTCATGGTTGTACCATTAATATTTGTGGAGCGCTTACTATGTACCATAAACTTTATAAGGATTACCTAACAGATTTATGATTTACAGATTAGGTAATGGAGGCTGGGAGAGGTTAAGTCCCCAAGGTCAAACGGTCTCTAAGAAAGTGTTGCGGGTAAACAGGAACACAGGCTGTCTGACTGCAAAACCAGCACCATTAACTAGTAATTCCATGGAGTCACCAATTGTTTAGCAAGGGCCTTGCAAAGAGAATGAGCTTAAGAATCAATAAACATGAAAGTATAAAAAAGCAGGAAAAAATCAGCAATTGACTCATCATCCAAAGGCACCTGCTATTATTAATATTTTCACATATTCCCTTCTAGTCTTTTAAAGAAATATTTCAAAGCAGGAAGACAGATGATAATAGATATCCACCCCAATCCCCATTTTTTTAAAGTCATAAAACGCAGTAAATCAGATGGCTCTACTTCCCATACCCTGGGATATTTTTTTCCTATGCATAGAGGCACTCTGAAGAAAGGCCTGGCAATCTATTTTCAAAAAATCAGTTATTGAAAACCCTATGGAGCAGAGTTCTACTCTGGCACAGGGGTCGCCATGAGTTGGAATCAACTTGACAGCAACTGCTTGGTTGGTTAGTTATTTTTCTGTAGATGACCAGGATCACGCATTTTAAAATCCTATTTGAAGCATTTTCCTAGCATATCAGATATTTTACATGATTTTTCATGGCTGCATATATTGTATGGCTGTAACATAATCAATTCCCCATTTGGGGCATTTAAGTCATTTCCTAGCAAAAACATCACTACACATACATCTTTTTTTCAAGCATCTGATAATTCCCTTTGGAAAAATTCCCAGAAAGGCCCTAAGGTCAGAGACTGTGCCTGTATTTAAAGGTCTTCATATTTTTTGCCTGTTAACCCTCAAAGAAGAATGGGAACAGGGGGGAGGTGGGTTGGGATTTTTTTTAACTTAAAAAAAATTTTTTATTCAATTTTAACACACTTACAGAAGAGTGCACAGAAGCGTACAGCTCACTGAATTTTCAGAAACTGAACATGCTCGCGTATCCAGCACGCTGATGAAACAAAACATTTCCAGCCCCCAGAAGCCCCTCCTTATCCCTCCACTCTCTGAGAGCTCCCGGCATGCAGCGCGCCGATCCCGGCCTGCACCGCGACGCGGAACCGGAGACCGGGGCTGCCTAGCGAGTACCGTGGGACCGTTGGTGGCGCAGGGTGAAGCTTTTAGTCACCTGGTGGCCGGAGGCGACGAGGCGGGGACGACATGGAAGTGTAAGCCACCCGGGACGCGATGTGGGGTCTGGAGCCGAAGCTTATAGCTACGGGCCGGCTAGACTGCTGAGAGCCAAGAGACGCGGGGGATGGGGCGACCCGTCGCGTGGGCTTGTGGGTGGGGGGACGGCAGTCAGGAAAGGCCCGTGGGATCTGGGTGGGCCGGGAAGAAAGTGACTCTCGTGCTGCCCCTCTGAGCCTTTGTGCCTGGGTCCCGGGGCCGAGCGCCGCTGGGCCCGGCTGCTTTTTATTTGTGCCTTCCCTCTGCCCCATTCATTTATAAGCGTTTCCTGGGTCACAGTGGGAAACCCAGGCCCATATCCGAGCGGGGACTTAGAGAGGAATAAAGCCCTGGAACTACCAGGATGGGGGACGGAGAAGTGCTGGGATAGCGCTTTGCCTAGGGGCAGCAGGCTTCTGCCCCTTCCTAACTCGGGAGAGATACTATCCAAGTTTGATGAGGAACAGTTACGGAGGGCGTGAGCCTGAACTGGGACTGGAGAAACAGCCCGTGTGTGGTGGCTGTGTGTTTATAGGAGGGAGTAAAAGCCCTCCTAATAATTTAGCTCTACGTTGTTTTTTCCATGTTTGCTTATTGTACTGAGTGCAAATGGAAGTTTTTGTGTCTACCCTGCATGTGGGCTTTTACATGGTTGACATTAACTTGAAGATATACCTATATTGTGTTCTCTATAGCACTAATTATTTAATACACACATTTTCCTTTATGTTCTTTCACTTCAAGTTTAATGGTTATGTACTAATGTTTTGCAGGCTTTTTAAAACCTTAACACATCCATACGTAACTGAAACAAAAGTTTCATGGAACAGTAATTACCTTTACTGTATGCAATACACTCTGATACTGTCTATTCTCTTTCATTGAAAAGAATGTTGACATGATCCACTATGTTGATTTCACAACCCATTAATGGGGTTCAATCTACAGCTTGAAAAACACTAATTATATATTACTCTGGTCCAAGCTATCATCTTCAATTTCTTCCTCTTTGCTAGAGCATTTCCTGTCAGCATACAAACCCGTTTTAATTTATACATCTTGAAATATCCCATATATCTTGAAATATTCCACTTTCAGGTCTCTACCTGCTGCTTCATTTCTGCTTCCTGGCACAACAGGACTTCTTGGAAGTGCTGTTTATCCTCACTCTCTAAGCCATTCATTTAGACTTTTGTCCTCACCAGTGCACAGAAATGACTATTTTGAAGATGACCTGAGCCTTGTATCTTGTAAAATCCAAAGGTCGATTTTCTGGCTTCAACTTTCTTGATCTCTTAGCAGTTTCTATACTTGTGTACTCTTTCCTTCTAGAAACTTTTTCTTAGCTTTGTGGCATGCTGTCCTGGATTTCCTCCTACATCAAGGACTCTTTCTCAGCCTCCTTCCCTGGCTCCACCTCCCCCTTGTCTGACTCCAAAATGTGGAAGTATCTCAGGGCTCAGTCCTGGGACACATTCTCTCACACGGTCATCTTACCTACCTTTATGCTGATTAGTCCCAAAATTATATTTCTAGTTCTGTTCTCTGTCTTGAGCTCTAGGCTCCTTTTCTCTGCTACTTGCTTGACACCTCCATTTGGATGTCTAAAAGGCAACTCACACTTAGCAGTTTCAAAACAGAACTACTTATGCTCCCTTCCTTGTGCTTACTCATCCTAACCTGTTCATATCTCAGTTATTAGGACCATTACCCATTCAGTGGCTTAAATCAAAAATCTAGTCTCCTTTCCTTCACCCCTAAATCCAGTCTATCATGCAGTCCTGTCACCTCCACCTTCAGGATATATTTTGAATGCAGTTATTTTTCGCTGTCTCTGCTGCTCACTTTGTAGTCCATTATCTCTGGTCTGGATTAAGCAATAGCCTTTGACTTCCACTCTTGTCCACTTCCATTCCATTTGGAAGAACGATCTTAAAGTATTAATTGGATGATGTCACTGCTTTCGTAAAACTCTTCATTTGCTTTCTGTTGCACTTAGAGAATATCTAAATTGCTTACTAGGATTGCAGTGCAGTGAACTACTTAATATGGCTCTTCTAGCTGTAGTCTGTGTGACTCTCACACAATGACTGGGTGGGACTATGCAGATAAGGTGCTTGTGGCCCACCAAGGGGATTGGGCAACTTGCAGCTAATGCAAATAAGGTACATGACACCCTTATGGGGATGGGACCATGCAAATAAGGTGTATCGAACCCTAATGAGGGGATTAGTCAGTTTTGCCATCCCATTAGGCTTAAAATGAGCTATCCCAGAGGCAGAAAGGGGGATCTCACTACTACCAACAAAGAAGAGATAGGAGTAGAACTTGTCCTTTGGATCTGGGATCTCTGCACTGAGAACCTCGTAGACCCGGGAGACAGCTGTAACACTGGAGATGGTGAGAAGTGGCAGCAGAGAGCTGGCAGCAACAGAACCAGGAGACTGGCTCCAGATGGCACAGTGAGCTTCTTGGCCCACGGCGTAAGGCATTTACAGTGAATGTGCCTACACAAAGCCAGAGAGCTGAGCGCCTTTGGGCCAAGGCTTACTGGCGGAGTAGGCTGCCTCCAGGAACTTATTGGTGGAGCTAGAAGAGCTTTGTAACACTTGCCCAAGCAGGGCCGAGGCCAGGCTGAGGGCCAGGGAGAGGCCTGCCTGCAAGCATAGCTGAGAAGAGGCTGTCATGATTGAACTGTATCCTGAGTCATTTCTGATCCTGGATCATAACCTGTTACTTCCCTAATAAACCCCGTAATTGTAAGTATTGTCCGTGAGTTCTGTGTGGCCGTTGCACTGAATTATCGAACCCAGTAGAGGAGTAGAGAGTGCCGTGGGAGGGACATATGGTGTCAGAATTGGTAAAAAGGTTGGAGGGTGGAGATAGGTTTGACCTCCACCTCATAGGAATCAGCTTTGGGCTGTTGATGTTGATTTTGATTCTCTCTTCTCCCCCTCTGAAGTTGGAGGAGGTCAGGTGCCCCCCACCATGCCATTTTCACAAGGACATACAAGATCCTGTATAACCTGGCCACTCACCGAACTTATCTTTTGCCACTCTCCCCACCTCCCAAACACACACACTGTACTCCAGCCACACTGGCAGTTGGGTAGTTCCTCCAGCCTTCCCAGACCTTTCCTATCTCAGGATCTTTCCATCACTGATTCCTCTGCCTGGTGTGCTTTTCCCCCTTCAGCTTCCTTCTTGTCCTTTTGGTAGCTCAGCTTGAGAGTCCCTTTTAAAAGTTGCCTCTCCTTTTCAGTGGATCCAAAATAAGTCTTCCTTTTGTCTCTCATAGCACCCTGGTTTATTTTCCACTTAAATAAGTTGTCACAATGTGTTTACTTGTTTAGTGCCTTGCTTGTCTCCCCCACAAGAGTATAAGCTCCAGGAGGGCAGGGACCAATGTCTGTTTGTTCACCTTGTGCTTAGTGCTGCATCTGGCACACAGTAGGCATTCAGCAAATACTTGCTGAATGAAGTAATACTGCAATATTTCATTAGTTTAATAAGTAAAAACGAATTAGTAGCATCCTAATTGCTAGGCATATGGATTTTCAGATTTTCCTAAGTGAAATGGTTTGAATCAAGGGTTTTTACTCATTTAACAACCTGTCCACTTCTCCCAAGGAGTCAGTGACTTTTTGAAACCAGTCAGGAGTTTTGCAGCTAGCAATTTATGGGAAGATGAAGTTTTGCGGGGGGAGGCTGTACATTCTGGGAGTGGGAGGGCCCCTGGAAAGGAAAGGTCTGGAGACCTGACTTCTAGTTCCTGCCAGTCAGACATGACCTCTGGCGGTGTGGTCCTTAGGATCCGCAGCAGAACACTGAGTACTAGAGCAAGCATATTGTGCCTGTCAGGGATGATGAGGCAGGGATGGAAAACTCCCCCTGAGTTTTGGCTACTTTTTTTTTCAGTCACGGAGTGAATACGTAAAAACATACACCAGAAATTTTTAAAAGTGAGAGTATATATATGCTGTATTAGATTGAATGACAGAATTTAAAAATAGCTTTTTGATCATTTTTTCCCTCAGGTAAAAAGGATACTGTCTTAGTCATCTAGTGCTGCTATAACGGAAATACCACAAGTGGTAAAGTAGGCTAAAAGTCCAAGTTCAGGGCATCAGCTCCAGGGGAAGGCTTTCTCTCTCTGTCGGCCTTCTTATCAGTCTTCTCTGGGACTAGGAGTTTCTCCACGCAGGGACCCTGGGTCCAAAGGACGCGCTCTGCTCCTTGCACTGCTTTCTTGGTGGTATGCGGTCCCAAATTCTCTGCTTGCTTCCCTTTCCTTTTATTTCTTGTAAGATAAAAGATGGTGCAGGCCACACCCCAGGGAAGCTCCCTTTACATTGGATCAGGGATGTGACCTTAGTAAGGGTGTTATACAATCCCACCCTAATCTTCTTTAACATAAAATTACAATCCCAAAATGGAGGACAACCGCAGGATACTAGGAATCATGGCCCAGCCAAGTTGATACACACATTTTTGGGGGACATAATTCAATCCATGACAGATCCTAAATGTTTGTAGCAGAATTAAGTTTTGCATATATAAGATATTGAGTACTTGACTAACTTGTCTAATGCTGTGGAATCATTTATATGTTTGGAAAGCTTTGCATTTACTCTTTTATTCTTGAACTTAGCATACATAGTTAAAGGAAATGGACTCATGTATTTATCCTCTCTCCCATCCTTTTGAGGTAGTGTCAGGAGTTCCCTCATTTTATAGCTGGAAATACTGAGGTTTAGAGAAGTTAGGTAATAGATTCTATAACAATTCGGTAACAGGCCTGGAAAGAAGATACTTGTTTCCTAGCTACAGGTTGTATTGTTCATTGTGTTTAGTTTTTCAGAACATGACAAATTGGTAACAGGTAGAATTTGAGTAACTGTGTTCATCATTGCATTTGCAAGAGTTAACCGTGTGGCAGTTAATAGGCACTGTCAGCCTGGGCTTTTGTGTGTGTGCACGCACGCTTCTAAGGAATGTCTGTCAATGGAGCATTTTGTTCTGTTGATTCAGAATTTGGTTTTCCAGAGTAGTTGTTTACAGCCATTAAATTGACTCAGCAAATTAAGCAGTTTACACAGGTTAAAGTTCAAATAGCAAGTCAACTTCTGTCACCTAATTCATTACTTGGGGAAATTCAGTGACTGTTTGTAGTAGATTCAGACAGTCTTTAAAATTCACTTGGAATATTTGCTTTAAACATCTGTAAACAAAATAGGTACTATTCTAAGTCTTACAGGAAAGTATGACGCTGGAGCCTTGGTGGTGCAGTGGTTAAAGTGCTCTGCTGCTAACCAAAAGGTCAGAAGTTTGAACCTACCAGCTGCTCTGTGGGAGAAAGATGTGGCAGCCTGCTTCTGTAAAGATTTACAGCCTTGGAAACCATGTGGGGCAGTTCTGCTCTGTCCTGTAGGGTCACTATGAGTCAGAATTGACTCGACAGCAATGGGTTGGGTTTGGTGTAGATGGGCAGATTCTAGAGGGGTGATTGCTTGTGAATGTATTGTATAATCATAAAGTGTTAGCTATAGAGCAGACAGTTCCTGCTGTAAATATATCATTGACATTCTAATAGATCTAAAAAACATTGGGGAGAATGCATTTTTTGTCCTCAACTATAAGATATAGTAACGTCTTTTTTTTTTTTTAACATTATAGAATTCTTTGTTGTAGTTTTACATTTCCATTTTACTCAACTTTTTAGCTTGAAAAGTTTCAAATCTATGGAACAGTTTCAAAAATAGCACCACAAATACCTGTACTTACCTAGAGTCACCATTTGTTAACATTCTGATACATTTGTCTTATTTCTCTCACCCTTTCATGCTCTCCTGTGTGTGCAGGCTCTCTCTTTGTCTCTCTTGTGTGTGTGAACACTCACACGTTTTACTGAACTATTGAGAATTAGTCATAGACATCATCATATCACTTCATCCCTTCTTAAAAACGAGCCCTGGTGGCACAGTGGTTAAGAGCTTGCCTGCTAACCAAAAAGTTGGTGGTTTGAATCCACCAGCTGCTCCTTGGAAACCCTAGGGGGCAGTTCTACTTTATTTTATAGGGTTGCTATGAGTTGGAATAGACTTGACAGCAGTGGGTTTGGTTTCTTAAAAAGGTCATTCCCCTATGTAACTACAATATCATTATCTCACCCAGGACGTTTAGCACTATATAATAACTATTATGAACATACAGTCTGTAATCAAAGTTCTCCAGTTAGCCCAGTAATGTTCTTTTAGCTGGGTTTCCTTTGTTCCCAATCCAAGATTCAGTCAAGGATTATTATATGTTTTTTGAGTTGCCATGTTTCTTTAATCTCTTTTACTCTAGAACAATTTCCTAGCCTCCTTTTGTGACATGGACATTGTAACAAATGGCATTGAAACATTTGAAGAATCCAAGCCAGTTGTTTTGAAGAATGTCCATCAGTTTGGATTTGTCTGATTATATCCTCATGACTAGATTCAAGTTAAGCATTTTTTGGCAGGATTGCTATAAGAGACGTGGCTTTCTCTGTGCATTACACTAGGAGGCACATGATGTCAAAACGAACCATTTTTGGTGCTGTTAACTTTGACAACTTGATTATGTTGATGTCTGGCAGAGCTCACCATATGCTTTTTCCCATCAACCTGTCAATTAGTGGTGGTTACAGTAACATCTTGAGGATAAAAACTGCCTTAAAATATTTTCCCAATAGACACAGTACATTTCCACCACTGACATTGAATTGATTCCAACTCATAGTGACCCTATAGGATGGAGTAGAACTGCCCCGTAGAGTTTCCAAAGCTGTAATCTTTATGGCAGCAGACTGCCACATTTTTCTTCCGTGGAGTGGCTGGTGGAATTGAACTGTCGACGTTTTGGTTAGTAGCTGAGTGTTTAACCACTGTGCCACCAGGGCTCCTTATAGTACATTTGGAGCTTCATAAAAGGTAGATATTGACTCACTGACATTTTGTTGAGTAAAGGAAGGCATATCATATATTGGCAGTTAGTATTTAGCTGGGTTAAAAAATATATTGTTTATAAAGAAAATGTTCTACATTCTACTTTGGTGAGTAGCATCTGGAGTCTTAAAAGCTTGTGAGTGGCCATCTAAGATACTCCACTGGTCTCACTCTGTCTGGAGCAAGGAAGAATGAAGAAAACTAAAGACACAAGGGAAAGATTAGTTCAAAGGACTAATGGACCACAGCTACCACAGCCTCCACCAGACTGAGTCCAGCACAACTAGATGGTACCCGGCTACCACCACGGACTGCTCTGACAGGGATCACAATAGAAGGTCCCAGACAGAGCTAGAGAAAAACAGAACAAAATTCTAACTCATAAAAAAAGACCAAACTTACTGGCCTGACAGACTGGAGAAACCCTGAGAGTATGGCCCCTGGACACCCTTTTTGCTCAGTAATGAAGTCACTCCTGAGACAGGCCCATAAAACAGAGTGAGACTAAAGGGGCACACCAGCCCAGGGACAAGGACTAGAAGGCAGGAGGGGACAGGAAAACTAGTAATAGGGAACCCATGGTCGAGAAGGGGGAGTGTTGACATGTTGTCAGGTTGGTAACCAGTGTCACAAAACAATATGTGTACTAACTGTTTAGTGATAAGCTAGTTTGTTCTGTAAACCTTCATCTAAAGTACAGTTTAAAAAAAAAAAAGTTCCTAATAAAAGAAAAACTACTAAATCGCCTTATGCCAGCCAGGGTCTGCAAGGTGCAGTAGCTATTTAAAGTTCCTTTGTTCTCCTGGTCCCCAAAACATAGATTTGTTGAAATCACTAGAAGAGACTGTCCCTCCTTCTTTATGTATTGGTTTGAGAAAAGGCAAATTATGTTCTTTGGATTTTTGCATTAACAGTATTGACTTGGGCAGTAAATGGGAAGGGCCACCGGCAGATTTCCTAGAGCATGGAATATTCTGCATGGCAGAGGAGGTGCTGTGATTTGGAAATGAAGGTGTGACAGTGGTGCCTGGGGTGGCTTCTCTGGCCTTGAGGAAAAATAACATTTGTGTTTTTTTTCCCCCAGCCTGTTCTAGGAAGGGATGTGTTTTTGTATTTTAAGGAGCACAGATAGGAGGCAGCCTGGTTGACTGACTTCCTGATTTAGTAGGCAAAGATGACATGTGGCTTCATTTGCCCTTCTCAATTTTAAATGAACCATATCTCATACACTAATTATGCACTGTCCTTCCTGTTTGAGCTTCTTTTTAAATCTCATTATATTCTTTGTGACCTGAGTGCTGTTGTGGTCATTTGGGCAAAGTGGCACTTTTGTGAAATCCTAGTGGTTTATTGAATCACTGGTAGCATTTAGTAACCTTCATGTGCTGCTTTGATCACAGTGCTGACGTCAGTGTGCTGGTAACCCAAGGCCTAGGTCAGATCCTGTGTTAGCCACCTGCCAGTTTTGCTTTATTTATTGACTGGGAAAGTCACCTTTCTATCTGGCCCATTTTTTGAAAAATTTGTGTTATCATTTTCATCATGTAGGCCCACTTCTGGTTTAAGAAAATATGGTAGCCTCTATGACACATTACGTGAGGGTCACACTTCTCTGCCTGAATTTGCGGGTTTCAGCTTTACCTGTTTCCGTTCGTCCAGTTCAGTCTCCTTTTCACAGTTCCATGGTCATCTTCCACTTCAGGTAGGCTTCTTACTGTGTGACCTTGAACAAGCTGCTTAATCTCTGATCTTCAGTTTTAACATCTATAAAGTAGGAATCGTAATAATAGCTCCTACCTCACAGGGTTTTTAATGAGAATTAAGTGAGGTATTATGTTTAGAAAATAATAGCCTCCCTTTATAGAGATCTTAATAAATACTAAGTACTGTGGTAAACTTTTTAAGTTTGTCGTCTCACTTTATCCTCAGAACAGCCTTATGAGATAGAATGAGGTAATAGTAGTAATAACAGATGGCGTTTTTAAAAATAAGTAGTATAACTAGAACATGAATATGGGATCTGATTTCAAAACTCTGTTCTTGTCACACTGTACTACCTCCGGAATGCTAAAAACAATGAATATTTTCTGACGTGGTATTTTAGAAAAGATCAGTTATAATTCTAGTCACATTGCTGTGCTCATGTATGCATGAAAGATGACAGTTTGACCTTGATCGACGGTTATGCAGGAGGATCAGGCTTCTGACCACCTGCCGGACTCATGAACTCTACCTATTGAGCTGGTAGAGGAGATGAACACCTTTGGAGTTTTGTGGATTACCTGGGAAGATTCCTCGCAGTTACTAGAATTCCCAGCGGTGATGCCGGTGTTAAGGAGCCATTTCTGTAGATTCAGTGCCAAGACTTAGTTGCCCAAGACGTCACTAGCTGGTGGGAGGCGGATGGTCTTGGGGAGAGAGGACTTGAGTACAGGATGAGAAACACTTTGTTTCTCCGGTATTTCTAGCACCCTCACTCTGTTTGTTGACCCTCTCCCTGTGGTTTTGCCCCTGTATTCTTCCTCTACCTACCTTCCACCCAGGTGTCTGACTTCTCTTAACTTCTGCCGCCTAGACTAGGGGTAAGTGTAGTATTTTAATCACCGACCTGGTGAATGATGTGTGATACACTATGACTGTAAAAAGGAAAGTCTGTTCAGAAATGTCCACAGCCAGCTAAACCAGAGGACTTAGGAAATGTCTCAATTTTAGGTCTTAGTCCCCAAACTCCTAAACTGGACTTGACAGAGGAATTATTTCACAGCTATTTAATACCCACAAAGGAATGTGAGCCCAGACTAATAACTTCCTTTTCTCTTGCAGGAAGGATGCAAATTCTGCACTGCTGAGCAACTATGAGGTAAATAGCTTTGAAATGGACTCTTGTATTTTCTTGTCTGAGAGTTTGTCCTTTGCTTCTGAAGCTTGTTGAGTGAGTTTTGGTTAGAAATGATGAGCTCACCTGGGTTTTCCACTGACTTTAAAGCAAAACAGATGACCCTACCTGGTGGACCTTAGAATATTCTAAGCTTATAAATTATACACAGTATTTCAGGGAAGCTGGGAATACTTTCATTTATAGGAGGCAATCTTCCCTAAATCCCAAAGATTGGCTTGTAGCTGGTGGGAGGTAGCCTCCTTGTCCAGTTTGGATTTTGCTAGATGTTTGGGTGTTTTATCCATTGGGGAAAGATTGCATTTACTGGGTCTCATGCAAGGGCAGGCAGGGACAAGGTGGCCTTGTCAAAAACCATTGACCTTGGTGTAGATACATTTCTCAAATTTATTTATAAAAAGCTTTTATATACTCTCTCCTAGGTGTTCCAGTTACTAACTGATCTTAAAGAGCAGCGTAAAGAAAGTGGAAAGAATAAACACAGTTCTGGGCAACAGAACTTGAATACTATCACCTATGAAGTAAGCCTGAGCTTGCTGGAGGGCTAGACCACCTTGGTGGGGGGCGGGTCATGGTTTATTCTGCTGAGGACTGGCTGCCAAGTCAAGATTGCCTGTAATCCGATTTGACTATAACTCAATTTCTAATCTGTTTATAAAAGTTCATTCTATTGTAGAAAATTTAGAAAGTACTAAAAAGCATAAAGAAGAAATCAAAAGTAATTCATGATCTTAATATCTAGTTGACATTTTGATGCATTCTCCTCCAGCCTTATGCTTTGTCCTTAAAAAAGAATGTTTAAGCCTTTTGTTTGTTACATGTTATGTTTGATTCTGTATCTGTCACTTTGGTATATACTTTCTTGCTATTTCCTTCCAATTCTGATTTTTGCCTCTATGGAGAATTTGTTTTCAACTATAGTGGTGGTTATGTTTATCTTTTCGAAGACATTATTGAGTTTAAATCAAGTTATCATAATCCCTTTTAAGGAAAATAAGGGTTTAATACTTTTGCCACCTGCGCATCCAAGTTTTGCTACTTGTGGGATTAAAAAAAACCCTATCATTCATTTATTCATTCATGTTCTTTTACATTTTGTAGTTGATCTCTTTCAAAGAAGAAAAAATATTTGTTTGTAATCAGTTTTATAACCAAAAATTCAAACTATCAAGTACTTTTAACTCGACACTCTTCAATTTTAGCTCACTGCCACTCTATTCCTCCTTAAATTTCTGCTTTTAATTCATGATGCCTTGAAGAAAACTATTGTGATAGACTTTTTATACTGCAACATATTTCTAGTACTTTAATGTGAATGACAACTGGTCTGAATATGAAGTTCTTGAGTTCAGCTTTTATTCTGCAGGGCTCTTTAGCTATCACTTTGTCTATTAGTGTTTGTTACTATGAAGGTATCTGAGATCAATCTGATTTTTGCACTCTTGAGTGACTTAACTTAGACGATTGAGGTCAGTGTTTGTTTTACAGGTTTGAAATTCCTCCCAAATTATGTTCAAGTGGGGTCCCCTCTTTAAAGTAAAATAAATCCTCTTATTTTGAAATATTTTTATACGTATCGAAGAGTTGCAGTGATAGTGCCAAGAGTTTCCATGTACCCTCATCATTTTTTCCTAATGTTAATATCTTACATAGCCATGGTACAGTTATCAAAACTAAGAAATTAACATTGGTACAATACTATTAAACTAAACTAAAGATTTTATTCAAATTTCCCCAGTTTTTCCTACTTATGACCTTTTTCTGTTCCAGTGCTCAACCCAGGATATCATATTACATTTAGTTGTTATGTCTCCCTTAGTCTCTTCCAATCTGTGACACTTCCTCAGTCTTTCCTTATCTTCCATGACATTGGCACTTCAAAAGAGTACTGGTCAGGAATTTTGTGGAATGTCCCTTGATTTAAGTTTGATGTTTTCTTATGATTAGACTGAAGTTATGGCTTTGTGCTCTTTTCTTGCATGATACCAATTATGTCTTTTTTCTGATGATGTTAACTTTGATCACTTGGTTAAGATGGTATCTGCTAGGTTTCTCTACTGTAAAGTTACTCTTGTTCCATTTCCGTATTCTGTTAAAATCAGAAGGTGGGATGTTTGAAATATGACTCTAGGAAAATTGGAAGTTGTCAAAAATGAAATGGAACGCATAAAGATCAATATCGTAGGCATTAGTGAGCTGAAATGGACTGGTATTTTCCATTTTGAATTGGACAATCTTATGATCTTCTGTGCCAGGAATGACAAATTGAAGAGGAATGGCTTTGCATTTATCGTCAAAAAGAACATTTCAAGATCTATCTTGAAGTACAGCACTGTCAGGGTTAGGATAATATCCATACACCTAAAGGAAGACCAGTTAATATGACTTATTCAAATTTTCACACCAACAACAAAGGCCAAAACTGAAGAAATTAAAGATTTTTACCAACTTCTGCAGTCTGAGATTGAGCAAACATGCAGTCAAGATGCATTGATAATTATTGGTGATTGGAATGCGAAAGTTGGCAGCAAAGGATTGGTACTTGGAAAATGTGGCCTTGGTGATAGAAATGACACTGGAGATTGTGTGATAGAATTTTGCAGGACCAATGACTACTTCACTGCAATTACCTTTTCTCGATAGCATAATGGCGACTATACACGTGGACCTCGCCAGATGGAATACACAGGTATCATATTGACTACATTTGTGGAAAGAAATGATTGAAAAGTTCAGTGTCATCAGTCAGAACAAGGCCAGGGGCTGACTGCAGAACAGACCGTCAGTTCCTCATATGCGGGTTCAAGTTGACGCTGAAGAAAATTAAAACAAGTCCACAAGAACCAAAGTATGACCTTGAGTATATCCCACCTGAATTGAGAGATTATGTCAAAATTAGATTTGATGCATCGAACACTAATGACCAAACACTAGATGAGTTGTGCGATGGCATCAAGGCCATCATACCTGAAGAAAGCAAAAGGTCATTAAAAAGACAGGAAAAGAAAGAAAAGACCAAAATGGATGTCAGAAGAGACTCTGAAACTTGCTCTTGAGCATAGAGTAGCTAAAACGAATGGAAGAAATGAAGTAAAAGAGCCAAACAGAAGATTTCAAAGGGTGACTCGAGAAGTCAAAGTAAAGTATTATAATGAAATGTGCAAAGAACTGGAGTTAGAAAACCAAAAGGAAAGAACATGCTCAACATTTTTCAAGCTGAAAGAACTGAAGAAAAGGTTCAAGCCGTGAGTTGCAATATTGAAGGATTTTATGGACAAAATATTGAAGGACGCGGGAACCATCAAAAGAAGATGGAAGGAATACACAGAGTCACTGTACCAAAAAGAATTGATTGACGTTTAACCATTTCAGGAGGTAGCATATGAGCAAAAACTGATGGTATTGAAGGAAGAAGTCCAGTCTGCACTGAAGACATTGGTGAAAAACAAGGCTCCAGGAATTGATGGAATACCAATTGAGATGATTCAGCAAATGGATGCAATGCTGGACGTGCTCACTCATCTATGCCAAGAAATTTGGAATACAACTACCTGGCTGACTAACTGGAAGGGTTCTATATTTGTGCCCGTTCCAAAGAAAGGTGATCCAGCACAATGTGGAAATTATTGAACAACATGTTAATATCACACACAAGTAAAATTTTGCTGAAGATCATTCAGAAACAGTTGCAGCAGTCCATCAGCTGGGAACTGCCAGAAATTCAAGCTGGATTGAGAAGAGGATGTTGAATGAGGGATATCATTGCTGATGTCAGATGGATCTTGGCTGAAAGGAGAGAATGCCAGAAAGATGTTTACCTATGTTTATTGACTATGCAAAGACATTCAACTGTGTGGATCATAACAAATTATGGATAACATTGAGAATAATGGGAATTCCAGAACACTTAATTGTGCTCATGAGGAACTTGTACATAGACAAGAGACAGTCATTTGAACAGAACAAGAGGGTACTACGTGGTTTAAAATCAGAAAAGGTGTGTGTCAGGGTTGTATCCTTTTGCCATACTTATTCAGGCTGTATGCTGAGCAAATAATCCAAGAAGCTGTACTATATGGAGAAGAACGGGCATCAGGATTGGAGGAAGACTCATTAACAACCTGGCATTGTGCAGATGACACTACCTTGTTTGCTGAAAGTGAAGAGGACTTGAAGCATTTAGTGATGAAGACAGCCTTTAGTACGGGTGCACCTCAACATAAAGAAAACAAAAATTCTTACAACTGGACCAGTAAGCAACATCATGATAAGGAGAGAAAAGATTGACTTTGTCAAGGGTTTCATTTTGCTTGGATCCACAATCAACACCCACGAAAACAGTAGTCAAGAAGTCAAATGATGCATTGCCATTGGGCAAATCTGCTGCAGAAGACCTCTTTTAAAGTGTTGAAAAGCAAAGATGTCACCTTGAGGACTAAGGTATGCCTGACTCAAGCCATAGTATTTTCAGTCACCTCATATGTATGTGAAAGCTGGACAATGAATAAGGAAGGCTGAAGAAGAACTGATGCCTTTTGAATTATGGAGTTCGTGAAGAATATTGACTGCCAGAAGAACGAACAAATCTGTCTTGAAAGAAGTACGGCCAGAACGCTCCTTAGAAGTAAGAATGGTGAGATTTTGTCTCTTGTACTTTGGACATGTTATCACGAGTCCCTGGAGAAGGTCATCATGCTTGCTAGAGCAGACGGTCAGTGAAAAAGAGGAAGACCCACAACGAAATGGATTGACACAGTGGCTGCCTGCAACAGTGGGCTCAGACTTAGCAACGATTGTGAGGATGGCACAGGATCGGGCAGTGTTTCGTTCTGTTGTACATAGGGTCTCTGTGAGTTGGAACTGACTCAGAGTCACTTAACAACAACATTATTTAGAAAGGAGTCATTGCATTCAGCCCACATTTAAGGGGAGGGAGATTAAGCTCCACTTCCTGGCAGGAGGTGTAGAAAAGAATTTGTGGACCTATGTTAAAACTGCCACGTCAAGTAATAAATATTTTGGGCGAGATACTTCAAGACTTTGCAAATACTCTGTTTTTCCTTAAGCTTTTGCCCATTAATTTTAGCATTCATCAGAGATCGTTCCTGTACTGATTATTACTGTGGTGTTTGCCTAATGGTGATTTTCTAGTTTCCTTATTCCACCATGGTTATTAGTTAGAATTCTTCCATTAGGAAGAGTTGTCGTGCGTTACCCATTTATTTATTTATCCAACATTTATTTATATATGTATTCATGGCTATCTGTTTTATTCTTTGGTTTCCCACTCTTTAAAAAATTGTCTGAAATATGATAAGAGCTCGAATTGTCAGTTTTTTTTCAAGATCAGAAAGTTTCCTTTTAAAAATTTATCAATTGTTCTTTTTTAAAATTTTATTTTGTTGTTATTGAGAATATACGCAGCAAAACGTACACTGGTTCAACCATTCCTGCATGTCCAGTTCAGTGACATTGATTACATTCTTCAAGTTATGCAACCATTCTCACCCTCTTTTTCTGAATTATTCCTCTCCTGTTCACATACTCACTGCCTTCTAACCCCCTGAGGTTCCTGTCTAAACTTTCGAGTTGCTGTTGTCAGTTTGAGCCCATATAGTTAGATCTTGAAAGAGCAGAATGCTCACAGCAGTCTCTACTAGTTAAGCTGAACTATTACTTGGTTTTAAGAAGACTTCGGGGGATATTTTTGGTTTAAAGTTTAAAGATTATCTTAGGGCAGTAGTTTCAGGGGTTCATCCAGCCTCCTTGGCTCCAGAAAGTGAATTCTTTTTTTTTATTCTAGCTATGGTTTTCTCTTTTGGGAATTCCTACTGTGTGAAGGTTGGATCTCCTGAAGACATTTGTTTGATAGAGGATTTTTAAAACAAAAATTTTAAATGCTGAATACAGGCAGTCCCTGGGTTATGAACAAGATCTGTTCCTAAGTCTGTCTTTAAGTTGAATTTGTAGGTAAGTCGGAACAGGTACATACATACCTACAGTTCTTATTTAGCATTAGTCAAATGTTTGTCTCTATATGTAGCATATGTTTTACTTTTCTATGCGTATAAAAACACTTAAACACTTCCAAATTGCAGTGTTTTCATGAGCATCACAAAGTAGTGTGTGTGTGTTTTTTATTATGGACCATTGTATTTCACTCAGGTTTTTAATATAATAGGCTTTATGGCAGTCTGTTTACGAGTTTCCCTGTAAGTTGGATGTTTGTAACCCGGGGACTGCCTGTATAGCCACGTCTTCCCTCTTTCTCACTTAGGAGTTCTTTGTCTTATGCTTGCCTTTTCAGTTTTTTTTTCTTTTTCTTTTTTATTGTGCTTTAGGTGAAACCTTTTTTTGTTTTGTAGACGTTAAAATATATTTCAAAAACACCATGCAGGCATCAGAGCCCTGAGATTGTCAGAGAATTTCTAACAGCAATGAAAAGCCACAAGTTGACCAAGTAAGTAAAGATTATATATTAAGTTGGATGAGGGTAACACATAAAGAAAACGATAGCTTAGAAAAACTATTCTCAGCAGCTGTATATTTATATTTAATTGGATTTTAGATTTATAATGAACGCACAGTGCTCTTTTGAAGTAGGATCGTGGTGTTGCTGCCATTGTTTAGAAGAGACAACCGAGACCAAAACCATCTAAAGCCAAGGAGAGAACTTAGTGTTTTTTTTTAATCTCCTAGGTCTTTTCTGGAGCCCTGGTGCCGCAGTGGTTAAGAGCTCGCCTGCTAACCAAAAGGTCAGCAGTTTGAATCTACCAGCCGCTTCTTGGGAACCCTATGGGGCAGTTCTACTCTGTCCTATAGGGTCACTGTGAGTCAGAATCGACTCAACGGCAGCGGGGATTGGTTTTAGATCTTTCCGTAGAGTATTGTATCATGACCTGTCGCATCATCCCCTCCCAGCATTCACACCAAATTGGTTAAAAAGTGGGGTTCACAAATTAAAGTACTTTGCATAAAGTTGATCAATGAAAAGTCATTTAACATTCGTGTTTGCTTGAGGTCATTGTGGTTTGACAGTAATTTGTCAGCTCTTCTAGTGCCCAGTTACTTCACTTGATGAGTTTCTTGAATGAATTGAACTTTTAAAATTAAAAACTTCATTGTCATTAAGCATTAGATCAAAAGTTTACCTGAGAAGAAAACTAGCCCAAGTCTTGTAGAATTCATACCGGAGCTGAAAATTCCAAAAGCTTTTGTCATTTCATTCAGGATAATCAATAATTTTCTTTTGGAGGAACCATTTGGTGTTACTTCAGGCACACAGTTGTTTTATAATTTGTAAACTATATGCACTTCTCCTTTTGCCTCTCTCCAAATGAACTCAGAAGACTGTGTCTTCCAAATGTATATATTCTTGAGGTAAAAGTATTTACTTGCTACGCAAAGTCATTCTTGTTCTTTGGTATGTTAGAAGCTTAAAGAAGAATTCCTTGGAATGTTGGGCTGGATTACAGAAGACCTTCCTTACTGGAAGCCAATATATCAGACTGAACCAGGAAACTTAGTATGTCTCCATTGTTCAGTATGTGATTATCAGATATTTTCTCCAATCAATGGTTTGTCTTTTCATTCTTTTAACAGTGCCTTTCTTAGAGCAGAAGTTTTAAATTTTGATGTAGTCAGGTTCATCTTTTCTTTTTTCTTTTAAATCATGCTTTTGATGATGTGTGTAAGAACTCTTTGCCTAACTCAAGGTCAGAAGACTTCCTCTTACGTTTTCTTTTAGAAGTTTGATAGTTCATGTTTTACATTTACATCGGTGATCAATTTTGAATTAATTTTTGGGGTATAGTAAAAGGTATGGGTTGAGATTTATTTATTTTTTGCATATAGATGTTAAAACTGTTTGAGTACCATTTATTGAAAAATCTTCCCTTTTATTGAAAAATCTTCCCTTTCTCCATTGAATTGCCTTTGCGGTTTTGTTAAAAAAAAAAAAATCAGTTGGATCTGTTTCTTCGTTTTATTTTCTGTTCCATTGATTTTTGTGTCTGTCCTTGTGTTAGTACCACACTGTCTTGATCATCATAACTTTATAATAAGTATATGTTCTTAAACTTTTTCTTTTTTACCATTTACAGTCCAGATAGAGATAATATTTTACCACTTTTTAAGTAAAATGTATAAGCCTTTTAATAATATAGTTCCTCTTACCTTCTCTCTTTTATGTTATAGTTGTCTTATTTATTGCATCTACATACATGGAGAGGTGCCCTGGTAGTGCAGTGGTTAGGAGCTGTGGCGAACTACGGCTGCTAACCAAAAGGTCAGCAGTTTGAATCCACCAGCTGCTCCTTGGAAACCCTGTGGGGCAGTTCTGCTTTGTCCTGTAGAGTTGCTAGGAGTCAGAATCAACTCGATGATAATGGTTTTGGTTTGTTTTTTTACGCTGAAAATGCTGTTCGACAGCATTTTAATTTTCAGTGCTCTTACATATTTTAGAGAATTTACAAGGACAAAAATGTTCTTTTGTATTTCCCCAGAATTTTAGCATTTCTTTTGCTCTTCATTCTTTCCTGAAGTTCTGTTTCCCTCTTACCATTTACTTCTGCCTGAAGAACTTCCTTTAGCAGTTTTTTCAGAACAGGCCTTTTGGCTACCAATTCTTAGTTTTCTTTCAGCTGAGAATGTCTTTTCTTTTCTTTCATTCCTGAAGGGTAGTTTCACTGAATTGAATGTTCTTTTCTTTAAGCATTTTAAAGATGTTATTCCGTTGTTTTCGGGCTGCCATGGTTTCTGATGGAAAACCTGTGTTTGTTCAAATATATAACGTGTTATTTTCCTCTCTCTGTGTCTTAGTTATCTAGCACTGCTTTAACAGAAATACCACAAGTGGGTGGTTTTAACAAACAAAAATTTATTTTCTCACAGTTTAGGAGGCTGGAAGTCCAAATTCAAGGCGTCAGCTCAAGGGGAAGACTTTCTGTCTCTGTCAGCTCTGGCTTGCTTAATCTGCTCCTTTTATATCTTTTAAGAGATGGACTCTGAGATACACCCTACACTAATCCTGCCTCATTAACAAAGACAACGCATTCCCAAATGGGATTATAACCAGAGGCATAGAGGTTAGAATTTACAACACATATTTTTGGGGGACAGAGTTCAATCCATAACAGGCTGCTTTGAAGACTTTCTTATCTTTGATTTTCGACAATTTGATTATGATGTCTTTAGGTCCTTTTTTGGTCTTTAATTTTTTTTTTTTTTTTTAAGTTTATCATGTTTGGGATTTGTTGAGTTTCTTAAGTATATAAATTTATGTTTCTTATCAAAATTGTTACATTTTCGGCCATTATTTCTTCTGCACTAATCTCCGTCTCTTTTCTTCTTCTTCATTTTTTTCTTGAACTCCGCAGACATAGTTGTTAGACCTTTTGTACTGTTCCACAAGCCCCTGAGGCTCTGTTCATTTTTATTTCTCCAATTTTTTTTTCTCTTGTTCAAACTGGATAATTTGTGTTGATCTGCCTATAAATTCACAAACTCTATCCTGTGACATCTCCATTCTACTATTAAGCTCATCTAGTGAATTTTCCATTTCAGATACTGTATTTTTCCGTTCTAAAATTTCTATTCATTTTTTTTTTTATAATTTTAAAGTAATTTCTGTTTCTATTATTCCATTGATTTCAAGAATGTTCACTTTTAACACATGTTGTTATAGTAGCTACTTTGTCTTTGTCTGATAATTGCAACATTTGCGTCATCACAGATTTGACATCTGTTGATAATCTTTTCCCTGGAGAATGAGTCATATTTTCCTGGTTGAGGTAATTTTAGATTGTATCCTGGACATTTTGAATAGTATGTTGCTTAGACTTTAGGTCCTGCTAAAATTCTCTGGTTAGGGTCAGACCTCAAGTCTGTCTTGCCTTTCCTGGGTGAGGATTTCAGTGTTAGTTTTGTTTTTTAAGTCTTTGCTCTTCTGCTCTGGGTCTTTATTATGTATTAGACTGGGGTGTGGCTTAACTTGTTCTCTTCCCAGCGTCTTTCCTGTGCTGTTTTGGGTCTGTTCAGTGCATGGATAGCTCAAGGTAAGCCTAGGATTTGTTCTGATTCATACATAAATTTAGGGGATCCCCTTCTCCAGCTTTCTCTTCTCTGGGATTCCCTCCATACTCTGGCGCACAAGGGCCCTTTAATTGATCCTCTCTGGCCATAAATACTGAGTTTCTTTCAAAGTTTTAGCTGTCCATGTGTGCAGTTGTTACTGGGACCACTCTTGAGGCAAAGCAGGGAAAGGGAAAAAAAAAAGGATTTCTTAGGACTCTTTGGACCGCAAAGGCCCCTTTCCTTAGTTCCTCTGGTCAGAAAGCATTTTAGCTGCTGGCAGCCCTCACTGTCAGACTCCACTGAGGACTTGCCCTGAGTTGTGAGAGAAAAGAGAGAGCGGGAAAGGTGGATTCTTCTGGATCTCCAGACCTCAGCAACTTCCTTTCCCAGTCTTCTGGCCAGAAAGATGTATATTCTCTTGAAGTTTTAGCCACCTGTGGAGCTACTGCTACAGTTCTGCTAAGGCCTGCCCTGGGCTCAAGGACATGAGAGAGAAGGAAAAAATCAACAAGAAACAGCCCCTGCCCCAACTGGTTCTTTCTTCAAGTTTTGTTTCCCTCCCCAGTCTACTTACTTTTGCTTACTTTTCAGAGTCCTCAGGTTGTTGCCTTTGTATTTTTTTCTGAGGTTTTTTATTGTGATCAGTGGAGAGATAGGCTTTAGTGGGTTTATTCCATCTTGCTTACACAGAAGTCTTAATGGTTGATTTTCAAGGCCTCTTCTCAGCAATTTGTCTGGGCTGGTGTTTTGCTTCCTAATCTCTAACGTCCTTTTGGCTACAAATATGGACCTGGCTGCCATTCTAGAAACTCACAAATAGGAATTTCCTTGGGTCTTAGTTTCCTACTGCTGCTGTAACAAATATCAGAAGTGGGTGGCTTTAAAGAACAGAAATTTATTTTCTCACAGTTCGGGATGCTAGAAGTTTGAATTCAGGGCAGTGGCAGGCGTATATTCTCTCTCTTCTATCTTTTAGTGGGTGCCAGCAATCTTTGGTGTTCCTTTTGTGCTTATAGAGGCATCTGTCTTCGTTGTAACATGGAGTTCCTGCCCCCCTGCTCCTTCCAACAGACCTGCTGGTCTCTGAACTGCTGCCGGGATCATCCTTTCCTTTTCTTGGAGGACAGCAGATGTTTGCAGCCATGTTGGTCTGTCATTTCATTTCCCACTGATAGAATTACAGGAATCGCACCGCTTTCTTTCATTTCATCTTATCTCTGCTGCTTTTAGTCTAAACGCCTGAGGTGGTTGATTGAATCCATAGGTCACGTGTGTATCTTCAAGTTCTGGTTTCTTTTTGCTTAACAGTTTGTTTCTCAATCTGTTTCTTTCCTCCCACAGTTTATAATAAGCAACAAGGAGAAACCACCCCACACATTCAAGATT